GTTGTTAGCCATTTGACCCAATTGGGTCTCTATCTTGGCAATAAAGTGAGTGTGGAAGTGAACTATCGGTGCTAACCCCTTAAGTTCTGAGAGAACTTCCAACACTTGAGTCTCAAAGACAGAGTTGCCCTGAAGAACAGGCGGGAGTTGTGGTTGCCGGTACGGTTGTGGGGGTCGATAAGGTTGCGGTGGTTGGTAGGATGATTAGTTGGCAAAATTATTGAAATTCTACCTTGGTGGTGGAGGATTGTAAGAAGTGCCTTATGAAGGGGGTCTCCATGAGAAATTAGGGTGATTTCTCCATCCCAGATTATATGTGTTGGAGTATGGGTCATTACTCGGGTTGGAGAATCCTTGAGCCACATTCACATGCTCTTGGACTAACTCCGGAAATTGTGATGCCGAAGGGCACTCACTCAAGACATGAGCAGGACTCGCACATATAACACATGCCTCACGGAATTGAGGCCGATCTTGCTGGGTAGGGGCATGTCCCGTAGCTAATAAGTGGTCTATCTTGCAGGATAGTGCCTCTACTTGTTGGGCTAACTCTAAGTTTTGCCCGACCTCATAAATGCCCCCTCTTTTTGGGGCTCCAACTACGAGTTACCGGACTTGCCGAGCTGCGGAGGCATGGTGAAGGGAATTATCACTTAAGTTCTCAAACAATTGCCATGCGTCGGCATCATTTTTAGACATAAATGTCCCACCACAGGACGAATCCACCATTTGGCAGTGTGGCTCAGTTAAGCCATAATAAAATGTTTGAACTAGTTTCCAATTAGGCACTTGGTGGTGGGGACACTGTTGGAGAAGGTCTCTAAGTCTTTTCTACGTCTCATGGAATTGCTCGCCATCCATTTGAGCAAAGTTTGTGATGGCTCGCCTAAGTTGGTTGGTTTTACCTATGGGAAAGTACTTCTCCAAGAACCGTTGCTGTAATTGGTCCCAAGTCCAATGACTCCCAAACCAGACGGTTTTAGGGCACTAGGTGTAAAGACACCCCTACGAGCTTAATAACTCGAGTTAAAAAGGCTACGGA